ACAATTAAATGTGAAATTTTTAACCCGTGCCTTAACTATATACCAACCCGACGTCGTATTGATAGAAATCACTGCACATTTCTTCAATATTATTTATAATTAAACCACTTCTCACAGGCCTATAATATTTACGAGATTCATTTCGACTATCAACTCTATCACTATGCAAAGTATCATCAAAATCCAAGAAGAGTAAGACTGAGGTTCTTCTTGTGGTGAAAACTAGTTCTTCAAAATAGTTTGCAAGGAAACCAAAAGTATTCCGAAATTTTTCAGGTCGATCCAAACACGTACCGAATGCAAATCAAGTTTTACTTCAAACATGCGTAATATGCACTTTTCCAATAAATATCGATACGATTCAAAATTATTTTGTGACTACTATGCCCGATTTTAATAACGACTTTGATTCAAATTATCCATCGAACCCTTTAAGCCGCCTCCATTAGCATCAACATCAACTTTGGAGGTAATTATTAAAATTGTCCTGCAGGGCGGCCAGGAGCGTGTTCGCCAAATTATTCAGCCAGCACCAGTAGCTGCTGAATTATCAGATGATGATAACCAAGAGTTGCGAACATCTGGCCTGATGGATTATGCAAATTCCCTGAGACAAGATGCTGAAAGAATTGCCAGGGAAGAGGCTGAAGAAGAAGCTCGTAGGCTAGGAAAAGGGCAAGATGAAGGACAAGTTAGTGGCGAATGTGCAGGGTCGTCTAGTATAAACAACTTCAACGGAAGCGGCGATGCGTCCAACCGCAAAACCAACAACAATTTTTGAAACAAAAGAATTGTTGTTGATATATCATGAATAAACTTCGAAAAAACTGCATTGTGATATCGACATCAACCTAAATATATACTCGTAGCTATACTTAATTGTAAAAGATTTCCTTATACAATCTTATACTTATACAAAATTTCTGTGAATAAATAATATTACTAGTACTCGTACATATATCTTTATCTAAAATCGTTAACAATTCTTGTGGCACCTAAAGAGACAATTTCATATACAACCTGTTGAAACTGGAGTAAGGTCACTAATTTTCTTCAGGCTTTACCATTACATTGGTATTGCAAAATTTTAATTGAAATTTGTGTCGACTATGATAAAATAATGGGGACATTATCAAAGTGTTTGTTGCGAATTAATAAATAAACGACCTTGAGGTAATTGACTCAAGGACGGTAATTATGAAGTGCAAAAACCAATATTTTGGTAAAAACCGGTTATAAAATAGTAATTTTTCCGAAAAAACGGTTTTAAACAGTTTTGAATTGAAATGTTTTTTTGCTTGAATATTCTATAATTAGAACAGAACAGCAAATTTAGTTTAAAACTAGTGGTATATGGCATCGTGCCTTAAGGCAAATTGCTGAAACTTCCCGTACCGTAATGAAATATTCGAGAAATTTTAAACGTTTTCAAATATATTATTATAAATACTGTAACTTTCATTATTTTTATATACTATCTTGTTATATCTGAGCAAATCAAATGTAAACTAGTTAGTATTGGTATTTTGCCTTGAGGCAAGCCACATGAACTTCCCGAAATGTGTAAATAATCGACTTAATCAATAAAAAAGAAATTCATTTACGAGTGATTGAAAGTATTCCGAGTGCATTTATTACACATAATTGAAAGCGAATTGAACGCGTTAACTCAAAGTTAACATTTTTATAATTAAACCAGTTTCAGTAGGACTTAAGGTATTCTATCGTTATACCAAGTAAATCGTCTAATTTTAATTTTAACAGACCTAAATAAAAACTACTAATTTTCTTAAACTTTGATGAGTTTTTAAAAATTGTTATGTAAAATAATGAAAGGCTAATTTTTTTGCTCTCTATGATTTAATCAATAGAATAATACACATAAAAAGCCCAAAATAAATAAGTAAAATGTTTCAAAAGCCAAATATTAATTAAAGCTAATAATTTTAATAATAAACTGTTAAAACAGGTAAAATAATAGGGGAAGGTATACGGTATATATTAACAGGTAAAATAATGTATATTCAGTTATTACTAAGAAAAATGCAATTTAGACATTATAAATACTAAAAACCAGTTAAAATATGATACAAGATTATTAAAATTATAGGCAACATTATTGGAGCAATTATTTTGAGTGAAAAAATCCAAGGTAATGTCGCACTAATACTATATATTAATGTTTTTCTGAATTTGTTATACCGTTTAAAAAACTTCAATATCCAATTTAGTGTGGGAATTGAGGCTCATTATTTTATTTAAAGCAATTCTACACATAACATCGCTTATATTGATGTATATGACGCATTTTGGTGTGAAGAGTAATTTAATAAACAATAATTATTTTTTTAGGTAAACGGTAAATATTAGTATAGGATATTAAAAAATTGTAGACGTGGGTACAGGACAATGTCTGTCGGGTCATCTAGTATATATATATATATATATATATATATATATATAATATAAATCATGTTTTTCTGCTACTCATATGACAGTTGGGTAAAATGTACCTAAAATGGCGGCGCATAAAATTAAATGCAGTAATAACAAAATGGCGAAACATGAACGTGAAGTTTGCGCTGAATATTTGATAAAGTAACCGTTGATTTTTGAAATATTTTATGATTAATTATATATATATATATATATATATATATTACCTTATCTCCGTTGATAAGTGCACTCGATTTGCATCGATAGCAATTGAATAATATCGAAATTAATGAAAAAAATCTGAATGTGGCGTGATATGTTCCGAGAATCGTTTACACTTTCATGACGAATGACAACATGGCACTCTATCAATATTGACATGGCATAAAAATAGAATGCTGATTAGAATTATCAATAAAACGGGTAAATAACTCCTGGGTTAAAGATTTATGGATATATAAAATATATATTATATATATATATATATATAATATATATATATATGATGGTTTGCGCAAATTCGTTAATAAAATTGCATCAAAATTTTGCGACACGTGCAGAACAAATAAGCGCGTGACTCTATTTAAATTGTTTTGCAGAAACAATGTTGCAGACACTCGAAAAAGACAATAAACAAACACTTTAGATAGTAATTTACAGTTTGCTAATTATATAATCTTTGTTACTGTAAAAAAAAAAAATTATGCCAACAATTATAAAATTCTACAATACTCTAAAGAATTTGCTTTAAAACATAATTGGTAAGAAATTCTTCAGTAGAATTATTATAATATATTCAAAGTGATGTGAAAAATTCAAAGAATTTTTTTAATAAATTTGCAGTTATTGATGTAGATAATTTTAAATATTTTCGAGATATTTTCGCTCATTTACAATTTTATATCGTAATTGTGTAGTAATGTAGGAATTCCAACGTCGTAAGATTTATCAAGAATTGTTTTCAAATTTGATGTGATAACATTGAGTCATTTATGTGGAATTGTTTATACAGAAATTTATTATATGCACGAGAAATATTCGTAAGGAGATATATGTATATATTTATATTGAAAAAGAAATCCATTATTTTTTCCATGATTCATGCTAGTTGAAAAGGTTACATATTGCAGTAAAAAAATATTTTGCATTTGAAAAGCCAGTTTCGTCATAAAATCGTGGTGAAATGGTTGAGAGCGCAAACTAGTAGAAATGTATTCGATCGTCGTTCAGCTCGATATCAAGTAGTATGACAAAAAATGTTCACTAAAGGTTATAGATCACGAATATCAAATAAAAGTCATCTTTCGACACAACTCATAATACATGTAGTTTTGATCGATTTAAAGGAAAAGAAACGAAAAGCATAATTTAACCAAAATCTATCCTATGTTCGAACTATTGTTGAATCATAGTTATAAATACTTATTATTTTCTTAAAACCTGAATTTTATTTATACATTTTAATTATATACCAAAATATATACCAAAGTATATACCAAAAATATATTTTAAACAATTATTATTATTTACTGAAACTTTTATACAAGTATATATATATATATACATAAATAGATTATATATATGTATAAATTAGAAATTTGCATAGAATTAGCCATTAGCTGTCGTCGATGATTCATTCGTTCAAAACTTTCAGTTGTTCGTCATTTCATTTTGTATTATAGGAATGCGTTTGTATAAATTAACATTTCGTATGCAAATCGTGAAATAACAAAACAATCATGCATAAAATTATATATATATATATATATATATATATATATATATATATGTGTGTGTGTGTATATATTAGAGTGGTCCTTAATATGGATATTTTTGATTTTTTTTACGCCCAAGTGCTCGAATGCTTCTAAAATATTGAAGTGCTTCCAAAAAAAATGTCTACCTGTTTTAGCTCTTAATATTAACATTTAGATAGTCCGTAATTCAATTTTCAAACATTCAATTTTTTGTGTTAACATATTTCGTTAAGTAAATTCTTGCGCCATCTGTGATAGCAGACTTGTAATTTTGATGGCAATTTTTGAACTTCCCGTAGGGTAGTTATAGTAATGGGCCGAAAATCGAAAATGAAAATTTTTGCATTTCTCGACGTTTTGAAGGTTTCTGAACATTTTTAAGGGGCATACCTTAGAAACTAAATGGATGTGTGTATGTGTGTTTTGTATGTCCGCACTTTTTCGTCCACGTTTTCGAGCGCACGGATCAACCGATTTGAATGGTTCAAAAATCATTCGATCCCAATTGATAGGGAGATGTGCTGATTAGTTTTTGGCGAAGGCAGGTTCAGCCATTTTGAAGAAACAGAGCTAAATGTGCAAAAATGGCAGTTTTTGAGTGAACTTAGCGTCCGATTTGAATGATCTAAAAACCTTTCGGCTTGTATTGACAAAACAATTGCTTTTGAGGATAAATGGAAAATTATTACATCTTTTTTTATTTTCCATAAAATATCTTTGTAATTTTGGATTAAAAATTCAAAAAATTCAAAAAATTACCCAGGCTAAGCACAGTCTAAGCGCCACTATAGTGCAAATATTTACCCAAGTGTGTTTAGACTGTGCACTTTTCCAATTTTGTGAGAAGAAAACTATTGAAAATATGAAAATGCCGCCAAGCTAAGCACAGTATAAGTGAAAATGTCGCACAGAATTATTTGCAAATGCGTTTAGACTATGACTATACGGGAGCATTTTTTCAATTTTGTGTAAATTAGACAACTATTTTTTTTTTGAAATTGAATTCGAAATGAAATGACGATTGTTAATGTTCTGGAGATAAATTGATTTATTTATGATTTACATTTGATTTATTCACTCAGCTATAACAAGATAGCAAAAATAATGAAAGTTACAGTATTTGTAATAATATATTTGAAAACGTTTCAAATTTCTCGAATATTTCATTACGGTACAGGAAGTTCTAGCAATTTGCCTTAAGGCACGATGCTATACACCACTAGTTTCATATAAAATAGTACTAAAAACTGTCTATAATCTATGTGGTTGCTGTGAAGTCAGGCATTTTGAATAGAAAACACAGCAAATACATAGCATAAATTTTGACAGTTTTTAGTACCAGTTTGTATGAAAAACGGTACGTAACATAGCCTTGCCATAACATAATGAACATTTTTCGTTATTTATTGCAACAAGTAACTTTCTCTCACACCTCGACTCTTATGCCACTTACGCCTAGGCCTAGTTTTTTTAATAACCCTCTGCACCTTAGCTTTTAGACACAATTGTTTCTAATTCTTAGTTTCTTCATCAATTCAATCTTTTATCAATTTTATATCATTTTTCTATCTGTACACAGTACTCTACCAGGATTCGACCCGAGTACCTCCGTATCCACTCTTTAGGGAGCGTCCATTAATCACGTGAGGTTTTTAGAGGTAGGGGGGGTTTGACAAAATATCACAAAATATCACGGGGGGAGGGAGGGGTATAGTAAGATATCACGTGCAATTATTTTTTAAACGATTTTTTTTTAAATTCAAAAATTTAAAAAAAATATTCAAAAATTATACAGTTTTTTCACGTAACTAAAAATACCCGTGATGTTTGGTGGGGGAGGGGGGGTCTAAAAATCATAAAAACTTGCTCACGTGATTAATGAACGCCCTCTCATAATAATTATTTTACCACTCACCGCAATCCCTGCAAAACTGGTGGCGTCCGTAAAAGGCGTCGTGACCTCACTCGACAGTCCGCTTGTCATCTGCCTGTCGTCACTGGTCGACATTCGACTTATGACGTCACTTCCGTCATCGTCGTCTATTGTCGCCGTCGCCGTCACTCTCGAATATTCGGTGTATCGAGGGGGGTCAATCGAATCCGACACAGAAAGACGACGGTGGGAAAACACTGAAAAAATGGTAAGTAAAATGATACATAGAATTATATAAATGTTGGTATGAATGATAGTATGGATAGATGATGATAATGCCAACTTACTTTCATTATGTTAATCATAATAACACTAGTGGGGTGTATGGCATCGTGCCTTAAGGTAAATTGCTGAAACTTTCCGTACCGTAACGATACGTTGGAGGAATATTAAATGTTTTCAAATATATTATTACAAATACTGTCGTAACTTTCATTATTTTTGCTATCTTATTGTTATATCTGAGCAAATCAAATGTAAACCATAAACCATAAATCAATTTATCTCCAGAACATTAACAATCGTCATTTCATTTCGAATTCAATTTCAGAAAAAAATAGTTGCCCACTAATTTACACAAAATTGAAAAAGTGCTCCCGTATAGTCACAGTCTAAGCGCATTTGCAAATAATTCTGTGCGACATTTTCACTTACACTGTACTTAACTTGGCGGCATTTTCACAGTTTTCAATAGTTTTCACAAAATTGGAAAAGTGTTCCCTTCATAGATAGTCTAAACGCACTTGGGTAAACATTTGTACCAGAGTGGCGCTTAGACTGTACTTAGCCTGGGTAATTTTTTGAATTTTTAATCCAAACTAGCTGTAAGTGGAATTCTGTCTTAAGGCAATTAGGGCATCGTGCCTTAAGACAAATTGCTGGAACTTCCCGTACCGCAATTCAAAATTCGAGTAATTAAAAATGATCAATAATAAGAATCAATAAAAGTTGATCAATAATTTGAAACTTTTAATAGAATTTCGAACCATATTAAATCATTCCATTTTAAATCATTTATTTTGAAATATTTTGGAAATTCTGAACTTTTTTTCAAAGCAATCGTACTGCTTTAACTGCATAGAGACGAAATATCAAAGCGCGTAAGCGCCGCGTCGCCGTCTAACGCGTAAACATTGGTACGGAACCCATAGGAATGTAAACAAAATTTATACTAATTGTTAAAATCTCTATAAAATATCTGATAATTTGATGTGCATATGTCTAATGTTCATTTTTGACCGCGAAATGGCTCATTTTTTTTTTTACTTTTTTCTCCATTTCTCCAAAGTCGTTGGACCTGTCTTTCCAAAAAATTGAACAGATCTTCATTTAGTCAATACAAATAAAATGTTTTTTGAATCATTAAAATCGGACGCTCCGTTCTCTTAAAAACTGAGTTACCGTTTTCGGCACTTTTTGCCCCGTATCTTCGGAACGGCTAGACCTGTCTTCGCCAAAAACTAATCAGCACGTCTCCTTATCAATACGAATCGAATGTTTTTTGAATTATTCAAGTCGGTTGATCCGTGTTCCCGAAATCGTCGACGAAAATTTGTATCCGCACATACATACACGCACACGCACACACACACACACATACATCCATTTTTTCTAAGGTATGCCAAAATATTCAGAAACCTCTGAAACGTAAAGATATATAAAATTTTTCATTTTCGATTTTTTTGCGATTACTATAACTTATCCTACGGAAAGTTAAAAAATTACAAAAATATTTTATGGAAAATAAAAAAAGACAGCTGGACCTGCCTTTGCTAAAAACTAATCAGCACATCTCCTTATCAATAGGAATCGAATGTTTCTTAAACCATTCAAATCGGTTGATCCGTGCGCCCGTAAACGTGGACGAAAAAATGCGGACATACAAAACACACACACACATTCATTTAGTTTCTGAGGTATGTCAGTAAAATGTTCAGAAACCTTCAAAACGTCGAGAAATGTAAAAATTTTCAATTCCGATTTTCGGCCCATTACAATAACTTACCCTACGGGGAGTTAATAAATTATGTTAACCATAATGAAATAAATTATGCGAATAAGTAAAATGAGCGCGAATAAGTAAAGTTGGCGCTGTTGCATTGTAAGAATGTTGGTATGAATCATAGTATGGGTAGATGATATAAGATTACTAGAAGGATTATAATGCCAACTTACATTCAATATGTTAACCGTAATGAAATAAATTATGAAAGTAAGTATAATGAATAAATGGCGCTGTTGCATTGTATGAATGTTTGTATGAATGATAGTATGGATACATGATATAAGATTACTGGATAGATGATAATGCCAACTTACTTTCATTATGTTAACCGCAATGAAATAAAACATGCGAATGAACAAAATGAATAGTTGTCGCTGTCGTATTGTAAGAATGTTGGTATGAATGATAGTATGGATACATGATATAAAATTACTGGATAGATGATAATGCCAACTTACTTTCATTATGTTAACCGCAATGAAATAAAACATGCGAATGAATAAAATGAATAGTTGTCGCTGTCGTATTGTAAGAATGTTGGTATGAATGATAGTATGGATACATGATGTAAGATTACTAGATGGATGATAATGCCAACTTACATTCATTATGTTAACCGTAATGAAATAAATTATGCAAATAAATAAAATGAATAGATGGCGCTGTTGTATTGTAAGAATGTTGGTATGAATGATAGTATGGGTAAATGACAATGCCCATTATCCTTTACCTCCTGTTTCATTTTCGCTCGTCGCAGGTGCAGTGTTCTGCCTCCTCGGCCTCGGCCTCTTTCTCGAATTTCTACCGGCGGCGCCGACTGCCGACGTCGCGTTCGTGACGATGGCTGCCGCGGAGGACGTAGCGAAGACATCGACCATCGACACTTCCGAAGAGGTCGATGTCAGAGTTGAGGACGCCGTGGCTTCGGCTTTTGTCGCGGTCGCGGTCGTGGCGTTGTCAGTGGTGGCAGCGGCGGTCGAACTCGGAGCGACCGCTCGCCCCTCTTGCTCGCGTTCGTCAATTGTGATGGATTTTACTAAAGAGAAATGATAATTAGTTGAAAGTGGCATTGTGGCTTGAAGCAAGTTGCATGAACTTTCCGAAATGTGTAATATGTAATTTGCTTAATCCATCAAAAATGAGATTTGGATATTTAGATAAAATTTTCGACTGTAATAAAGTTTTCGCTTTCTCTTCAATGTAAGCATTGCGATTTCCTATTGATATCTCTCAAACAAATTTATAATATCTGTAATTATATTTATTGTGGCGGACGTAGCTCAGAGGTAGCATGTCCGACTCACAATGCCGGAGATCGTTGGTACGACTCCTGGCGCTTCCAAATGTAACAATAATGAAAAATGTGTAATAATAGAATGTATGAGAATTTCAATTGTAATTAAAAGTTGATTAAGAATTGTTAATTTGTAGAATACAAGAAAAGATAGAAGTAAATAGGAAAAAAGAAGTTTAGAAGATGAGAAGAACATATTGAGAAACAAGAAGAAGAATGAAAATTGAATGGAAGATTAAGATATAAGAAGAGATAGTATATATATGATGAATGTATAAGAAATATATATGTAAGAATTGTATAGAATATGATGATGAATAAAATGAATAATGTATGTTGATAAAAAAATGCTGTAAAGCGGAGGCCAATAAAATTAAAAAAAAATAAATAAATACGTAAAACAAAAAGGTCAATTATTATTAATATATATTAATTATAGTGCACAAAGTCATGTGCTTGTTTTATTAACTTCCCGAAGGAGAAGTTTATGTTTTCATCAAAAAATCCGATTCGCTAGTTTTATATTTTCTCGACGTTTCAAGCCATTCTGAATCGAATGAGACCAACATTTGGAAAAAGTATGTGTGTGTGTATGTGTGTGCGTGTATGTGAACAAATTTTTTGCCATAAATCGACGTTTCCTCAAAAACGCTTAGACCGATTTCAAAATTTTAAAAGCCATTCGATGTATCTCGATGAGAACTAGCGTTCCTGAGTTTTAACGATAATCGACCGAGTCGTTTCTCTGTAAATCGCAGAAAAGTGAAAAAAATTTCGTCCACATTTTAGCCCGCAATTCTGAATCAATTTTGAAAATTCAAAAACCGTTCGAAAGGTATTGGTTGGGAATCGTGCTGATTAGTTTTTGGTAAAGATCCGCCGTGCCGTTTTCTTGTAATAACGTTTTTTAAAAAAAATTTCAATGATTTTTATTATTAATTTTTTTGACGGTAGAGACCATAGTCTTGTAGATCATACTAAAATATTACTGCCCTACGACAACTCGTTTAACTTTAAAAATTCGTCAAAGTTTGCAAAAATTGGTATCGTTTTTTTGGCATTTGTCAAAATTAGACTTTTCATCGACGTTTTCTCAAAAACGCCTGAACCGATTTCAGAAATTTAAAAGCCATTTGATGTATCTCAATGAGGACTGTAATTTGTCAGTTTTGTGAGACGATCTGCCGAGCCGTTTTTTTGTAATTTGAAAAAGAGTGTTAAACTTTTCGTCCACATTTAAGCTCAAACTACCTACCGAATCGATTTTAAAAAATCAAAAACTGTTCGAAAGATATTAGTTAGGAATGATACTGATTAGTTTTAGGTGAAAATCTACCGAGCCGTTTTCTTGTAATAAACTGTTGAAAAAAAAATTAAGCCGATTTTTATGGAACTTTTTTGGCGAAATATATCATGGTCTTATAGAACTTACTGAAATATTACGGCCTTACAACAAGTAGTTTAATTTTAAAAATTCATCAAAGTTTGAGAAAGTGAGTAGTTATGTTGACGTTTGTTCAAATTAAAATTAGACTAATTATTTGGTATAACGGTAGAATACTTGGTTTTATTGAACATACTAAACAATTAAAGTCCTACAAAAAACTGGCTCAATTATAATAATTATTGATTTTTGAAAATTTGCTGTTAAAAAATACTCCGACCAGGTTGACGTGTTGGATTTTCAATAATGTGTAATAAATTCTCTTCGAATACTTTTAACTACTCATAAATTAATTTATATTTTATTGATTAAGATTAAATTTTTTACACATATCGGAAAGTTCATGTAACTTGCCTCAAGGCAAAATACCAATACCAACTAGTTTAGATAAAATTTTCGACTGTAATAAAGTTTTCGCTTTAAGCTTTTGCTTTTTCAATTTAAGCATTGCGATTTCCTATTGATATCTCTCAAACAAATTTATAATATCTGTAGTTAACATATATTAATTATAGTGCACAGAGACATGTGCTTGTTTTATTTAATTTATACCATTACTAGCTCTAGTATTGACTTTTACTTTACTAATATTTTAGCACGATGTTAGTGGTATTTCAGTTGTAGCAAAGACGGAATAAAGTAAAAAAAGCAAGTTATAATCATTCAAGTTAGAATCCAATAAAACACAAAAAGAATCCATTAAGAATCTAGTATAATTTCTAATAAATCTAATAACATTCTAGTAAAAAGCGAGAACCTGGAAAGAAATCACGATCTTATGAAATCTAGTAAGAATCTTATAAGAATCGTAAGGTCACGTAGGCGATTTTTTTTGAATTTTGGACCACCCTACCCCTTAGTAGCGATATTCAAAATTACAAGATTTTTGGGCGAAAACATAAATGTCTCCTTCGGGAAGTTAAAAAGTAGAATTATGACAATTTTAATATTTTCCTTTACCTCTATAACTCAACTCTAGTTCGCTTGTCACTTAGAAGGCCTTTTTCCAAAATCGCTTTAATATTTACACTTATTTTTCAAATTTCCAAATTTTTCTGATAACAGCTAAAATCACATTGAATTATATTTGGCACAATTTTTAAAGCAGATCACAATAAGACATTTGGCAACAGATGGGCGGTAGATTGGTGGCACTCTGGAAAAAAAGAAAAATATGAATTAGACATTGATTATAATAAAATACATATTAAAAACTTGCTGTATTATTTTGCAATAAATTTAGGGAGCCTGAACAATTAAAGTGAATTTCTTATTTAAATGATTTTATATTTTAAAAATTATTTTTTATTTATTTTATATTTTAAAATTAATTAGAAGCAAGTTGTAAGTTAAAAGAAGAATTTTCAACGCATTATTATTCTAATAATAATATTAATTTTTATTTAATTTACTACTCAATAGCAACAGGATAATTTATACAAATTCTACCAAATAATAATCGATTTCATAAAATGATGAATTTCTTATATCTTCTTAATATTATAACGAAAAACAATTTTTTATGTGCCTTATGTTCTAATAAAGTGGAATCAGATATTTTGTAAAATATTGAACATAATATATTTTATGAGCTACTTAAACAAATGTTCAGATTTTGCAACAATTTTTACAATTTAAATAAAAAAATCCGGTAAAGAAATTTTATACTCCTACAAAGATGTTTTTTCAATTGTAATAATTTATATATTTATAAAAAATGTATAAGATTTTTATTATTTATGATATATAAAATATATTTTTACAAAATATAAAACTAACTTATAACAAATATTTAATAGTAATATTTAACTATTTTTTTATAATAAATATAAATATAAAATATAATAATAAATATATTACTTTTGACAGCTCTTTTTGTTTGGTGCATAATTCCTGTAAATTTTTTGTTTCATCTGATTTTAAAAAATAAATGGATTTAAAAATGAAATATTTGATTTTAAAATTTTGAATTCAAATATAAAAGTAATATTTAGTAATACAACAAAGTATCAACTTAAAAAATTTTGACATTAGAAAATTTGAAGGGTTTTTTAAACTAAGCGTAAGTGGCAAGTTGCATGAACTTTCTGATACATAAATCAATGGGATAAGAATTGAGCTATTTAGATGAATATTTTAACTAAAAACTATAATTAAATGAAATGTCAAATTTATAATTTATAATATAAGGAATTGAATTGATTGGTAAGAACATAGATAAGGAAATAAATAGTTCAATTGATGGATATTTCGGAATAATAAAATCAATAGACGTTCTCAGTTTTTTTAAATCTAAATTTCTGAATATTTAGAATTTTTAAAATTAAGTAATTAAAATTGCTCGGAATAGAAAGTACTCGGGCTTTTAGCTTAATTGTTATTTTAGCTTATTAAGTTTAGCTTAATTGTTTTTAACAAAAATTGATATTAACCAGTATCAACATGTATCTAATAATTTTTAATATTTTATTTTTTAATTTAATAAATGTTTTTTATTTAAAAATGTATTACTTTTATTTATTCGAAAACTTTCCTTTCACTATCATAAAAATATTTTCATTCTTATATGTGAAAATGATGCATGAATAACGAATAATTATTTTCAAAATTATTTAATCAAGATAAACTATTATTTTTTAGTTCAACTAAGTAAAATTAAAATAATTTTGTTTACTATCTATGAAATTGAACAATAAATAAATTCAGTGCTTCAAATCGCACTAAATTTGCGGATAAATTTTTGTTATTACAGAATATTCGAGCAAACATTTATTTTCTACATTCGAAAACTGGATAAAACCGGTTTTCTGGTAAATTTGAAATTCAAAATCCGGTTTTCTGAAATGTCGGTTTTTGTATAAATCCTAGTTTATACCGATTTTTATCTTTATATGTAAAAATGACTTAGAAGAGCATACACGGTGTATGTCCTGAAAGCGGTCAATTATTCCAAACATTAATATTTTTTCATAATTCTCATAAGCCTATAATATTTTAGGTGATATAGTAAATCTTGAACTAGTGGTGCTGGCATTGTGCCTTAAAATTGCATACATATCAAAAGTTTAAAAAAGCTTTAAAATAGTTTGAACATTTTGAAGAAAAAATAGAGTTTGAACATTTTTAAAAAAAATGATTTTTTTCATATTTTGAATTTTCGCAAAAATTTTTTTTCAAAGCAATCGCGAAGCTGTTTTACAGACAAACTCGAATTGAATTTTCGAAATCGCTCCGAAATGAGTTCTTCATTTTGTTAATACAAATCAAATGTTTTTGAATCATTCAAATCGGACGCTCCGTTCTCTCAAAAACTGGGTTACCATTTTTGGTACTCTTTGCTCCATATCTCCACAACGGCTGGAGCTGCCTTTGCATGTCTTCTCATCAATACAAATCGAATGTTTTTTAACTACTGTGCAATACACACACACAAACACATACATCCATTCTTCAGAAATATAGGAATTTTTCTAAGGTATGCCAAAATGTTTAGAAACTTTTAAAACGCGAAAACTTGACTTGACTTGACTTACTTACTTTAAATCAATTTTAACAAAACAAAGGCTTAAAATAACAATAATAATTATTTATCATGATTTGTTTATGTATAAATAAAGCTCCCGAATTACTACATTTGTTTTTTTTTTATCTTAATTTAAGTTTTTTTTGTTAATAACAATAATTCCAATGTCATTACACCGCAAAAACTATTTTTGCACAAGGACAAAAATAAACAACAAACAAATAATTTTTTGCTCGACTTGTCATGGAAATATGCATTAAAATAATTATAATGACTTCGTGAGTCATTGAGAAAAACCTAAACAAATTGCAAGTGGCATTTTGCCTTAAGGCAAGTTAATAATTCAGATTCACTTATTTGGGTCAAATGTTCAAGGGCTAAAAATTAAAAAGTAAAAATTGATATCATGTAACAATTTTGAATAATGTTCATTAGTAATATATGGTAACACTCGCGATGCACACATTTATTAGTGTCGACGACCATTATACACATTTATATAATGATAAATTATAAATTATATATTTACAATAGCATGAGAAATATACATAATATTTAAAAAACAATAATGTAATTAGAGCCAAACTTCAAATATGACGTGATCGGTTTGTCATTGTAATAAGCATTTAGGACTTGAACCTTCATTAGAGGAATAAAGTAATGCTGATTTATAAATTTTATAATATTCGTTCACACAGTAGATTATGTTAAACAACGCCTAAACAAATATTTTTTTCGGAACTTCACTCATCATGTAATAATTGCGTTTGAAAAACTTCATGTAATTAAAATCAACATACATTTTACTTTTTTACGTATTTTTTTACTTTTTTGCTGGCGATATAATCTCATTCTTTGAACAGCTGTAATATCTGTTTTGCCTAAAATTTTTTTTCCATTTTAATAACTTCAAAGATTTATAGAAACTACGAATAATATAGAAATAATTTCTAATCAATAAACTTACGTTTAGTACACGTCCCAAATGTTTAATTTGTTTTATTATTTTCAAGGAACAAGGTAAAATATTCTTCTGATTCAGGCACTTTTCATTGAATCAAGATTTGTACTACGATGTAACTTTAAAATGTTTATTTATCTGTGCCGATTTCCTTGTTGATATCGGTACGCATACAACGACAGATCTCTATTCACCCGACACGACTACTAATCACAATCGACCCGTATAGAAATGATATCATCGAGAGCGAATGACGAATCATTGGCACTCGACTCTTATCTTATTTTATCTGCCGTAACGCACTTCCATTGCATTTGTACGGATTTACACCCTAGTCGCGCCTAAAAAAGTTTAACTTCAAAAAAACCACATACTTTTTCTAAATTCGGTCTCAAACGATTCAGAATGACCTGATGTGTCATTCAAACGAAAACACCTCTTTGTCAAGTTAAATATTTATTAAAAAAAACACAATACAACTATTCAATCTCTCTAATCCATCCCCTCTCCCCAATCAATATCGTCGTCGTCTTCTTCGTATTCTATCGCATCGACAATGTTACTTCGGGAACCTTTCTTACGATTGGTATAGTCGCATTTATTGCATGTCATATTCTCGGGCTTCGGATAAGGGCAGCAATCGGTCATATCTTGGCTGCCTTCGTCCTCCTCCTCATCCAGCTCCTCGCCCTCCTTGTAGGGTAAAATCACCCTCGCCTTCAGCATCACCACACCGGTAGGGTTGATCCGAACCTTGGGAGGAAAATGTTGGCAAGGGAAAAACTTTAAATGATGGTCTTAAGACGATTTATTGTAGGGGGTACTTTAGCAGAAAATATAGGTGGTTGAAAGCAGAGACACATGGTAAGTGAGCGTCCATTAATCACGTGAGGTTTTAGGGGAGGAGGGGTTGGCAAAAAATTTCGAAATGTCACGTGGGGGAGGGAGGGTATAGTAAGATATCACGTTCATTAATTTTTTAACTGATTTCTTTAAAAAACTCCTAAAAACTCGCTCAAATGATTAATGGACGCCTCCTAAAGGAGCGCGATGGTAAATAAGTTTTAGAAGTAAAAAGCAATAAATAAAGAAGCGAAAGAAGACGTGAAAATAAAATAGGATGTAGTAATATTATGTTTTGTTTTTCAGTTTGTCAGTAGAGTCCCTAGTTACGGGATCCATCCCACTGACATTGCTTACATCTAATTACACAAACCACCTTGCTGATAGAGCATATTTTTATCTATAAAAGATCCGAGATCTCTATGCTCGACGAGGATCATTATACATAATTTATACCAGTACATATACCAGTTCAGTTATTTAATTATTATTCAATTATAAATTTGAAATATTTATATAATTAATGTAATTTTAAGAAATAAAGTTTTTCTTGTTTTTCTCAAATAACGAGAATAAAACTCCCTTGTTACTTTGCTCTTTTCGCAGTTCATTTCTCAGTCTTTTTCCTAATTAATTTTCGAAATACGCAATTTGCTCGTCAGTAGCGTCATTTTCTTACCCTATGTCTGAAATACACATTTTGCTCGTTAGTAGAGTCCTTTTCCGAATCTATTTCCGACATACGCCATTTGCTTGTCAGTAGAGTCCTTTTCCTGATTTTTTTTTGAAACACACAGTTTGCTCTACAGTAGAATTCCTTCTGCTTTTGACCTTTCGTTATTTCAATTCGTTCGTCAGTAGAGTCCTTTTTCTATTTATTCTGAAATGCACAGTTTGCCGTTAGTAAGTCCCATTATTTATTTTTAAAATACGCAATTTAGTCACCAGTAAAGTTCCTCGTTATTTTGTCTCTTGTTTCAGTTTGTTCGACAGTAGAGTCCCCTTTTATATTTCATGACATCAGTTTTATGGTCAATAGAACCCTGTTTTCATTTTTTTTTTATAGAATACGCAATTTGCTCGACAGTAGCGTCCATTTTTCCTTTTTCTCTTGTTTAAGTTTACTCGTCAGTAGAGTCTATTTTCTAATTAATTTTAATAAATTGTTGCTTTGCCTTTTTTTTGGCCTTTTCTAATTTTAGTTTGCTCGTCTGTAAGGTCTTCTTTTGTCTTATATTTTAATTTGCTCGTCAGTAGAGTCCTTTTAAGTTTTGTATTTCAAATTTCTCGTCAGTAGAGTCCTCTTTTATTTTATATTTTAGTTTGATCCACAGTAGAGTTCTATTTTACTCTGTATTTTGTTTTTGTTTACTAGTCAGTAGAGTCCTTTTTGGCCTTTTCTAATTTGCTCGTAAGTAGAGTCCCTTTTTACTTTATCTTGTATTTTAATTTGCTCGCCTGTAGAGTCCTTTTTAAGCCGTGTATTTTAGTTTGCTCGTCAGTAGAGTTCCTTCTATATTTTGTTTTTCAGTTTGCTGGACAGTAGAGTCCTTTTTAAGCCGTGTATTTCAGTTTGCACGACAGTAGTTTTCTCTAATCCATGCCTGACCTACAGTTTTCTCGTCAGTACAATCTCTTTTCTATTTAATTTCTAAAACAGGCTGTTTGCTCGTAGGTAGAGTCCCTTTTCGTGTTGTATTTTAGTTGGCTCATCAGTCGAGTCCTTTTTCTACCAATACACAGTTTGCTTGTTAGTAAGGTCTATTTTTACTTTGTCTTTTATTTTAGTTTGCTCGTCAGTAGAGTTCCTTTTTAATTTGTGCCTTGTTTCAATTTGCTCCTCAGTAGAGTCTGTTTTTACTTTATGTCTGAAATACAATTTGCTCGTCAGTTACGTTTTGTATTTTAGTTTGCTCGTCAGTGGAACATTTCTTTGTCTTGTATTTCAATTTACTTGTCAGTAGAGTCCTTTTTGAATTCTATGTCTCAAATCCAGAAATTGCTAAACAGTAGAAAGTTTTATTTTTATTTTGCTCGTCAGTAGAGTTATTTTAACATCTTAGTATATATATGAATTTGCTCGAAAATAGAGTCTGTTTTCTATTTTATTTCTAAAATACAGTTTGCTCGATAGTAGAGTCGTTTTTTCTATTCTATGTCTGAAATACACTGTTTGCTCGTCAGTAGAGTTCCTTCTCACATTATCTCGTGCATTAGTTTGATCGTCAGTAGAGTCCCTTTTTTATTTTGTCTTGTATTTTCGTTTGCTCGTCAGTAAAATCTCTTTTTTTTTATCTCGTGCTGCAATTTGGTCATCAGTAGAGTCTTATATTTCACTTTGCTCGTCAGTAAAATTTCATTTCATATAATAATTTACTATGCTCGTCAGTTGAGTCCTTTTTCATAACAGGCCAATGTTACGCAAGGCCATGTTACGCTCTAACTTCCATACATTATGCTACTGAATCATACTGAATGCTGTCAAAATGTAACGTATTTGCTGTGCATTCAGGCGTTTTGCACATAAACTGCAACGTCACTCGTATGTTATGAAGCTGGGTCAGAAAGACCCTGTTATCTGACATCTTCTTCACGAAAGTTCTTCATAACATGGCCTTGCCATAACATTTTGTGCGGCAGAATCGGTCCATCTATGTCTAAATATACAGTTTGCTTAATAGTAAAATTACTTTTAATTTTGCCTAATATTTCAGTTTGTTCGTCAGTGGAGTCCTATTTCTATGAAAAGAAACAGCAAAAAAAGAGAAATAGAATAAATAAGTAAAACAGAAGGACGATGGTGAAACCCGCGCGCCACTTTGGTCTGCTTTCAACACTAACACTATAAGATTGCCACTTTAGCAAAGACAATAACCTAGTGCTTGCTTAGCCATGATGCAAACCGTGAATGAACACAAGAATATTAGTTAACAATTATTTTAACTTTTATATAATAGTTATAAAAATTATATTTTTTTGTTCTACCTTGATCACCGAATTACAAGGCACGACCTCGGCATGAACGTTGCCCGTCCAAAGGTCCTTCATACGATACCCGTGGGGCGAATAAAGGCCAAGGGCCTTCAGGCTTGCCGTCATTTGCGAGGGGGTTCCGTCGAATCTATATACACATACACACACACAATTGGCACAACCAAAAACACTATTAATCACCAACAAATCAACTGGTGGTCTAATCTACCTTCTATTAAAAAAGACAATGGCGAGACTTTTATAACGATCCCAGACTGGCAAAATAGGTCTCGTCCAAACTTCTAGACCTCGTTTTTCGTACAATCTTCTACCTTGAATACCCAACTTGTCCTGGTCAACGGCTATTACACCCTGCACAGAATCGGCATAACATTAAGCATATTCATATTAGGGAATGCAATACTGATGGAAAATTTCAATACCGGTATTTCGGTAATTTTTCATTTTAAAACCGGAATACTGGTAAATTACCGGTATTTTTATTATCTTAAACAAACGTAAACAAAATTGAAAATTACTAGTACAAATACAAGTAATTATATATACAACTACAAGTATATTCAACTAAACAATAAAAACAATAAAAAAAACAATAAGTTGATTTTTTTAAATAATATCTAAACAAAATTATATCCAATTTAATTAATTCATTATCACTACCGAGTATATTGAGTACGTTTCACCAAAAACAAACGTATGAGTAAGAAAGACCAAAAACTCATAAAAGATAATATTACAATATTATAATAAACTGTATTGTCTATATCCGATGTGTTAAATTAGCATAATCTCCAATATTAAAAAAAAATATTTTCTTCACTAATTTATGATCGGATACTTTGTCAAGATAAATTGTTATTTCAAACAATGTGATGCTTCTATAGTATTTTTAAACTTCAAACCGTTTTCGAAAAATACTATTTTATAATTGTAATAAGAAACAAAAATATTTAGTAATTATCATAATTATTATGTATAAAGTTAGAAAAAAATAAACAATAAACATACTCTGTGAGGCACTATGGCTATTTTATAAACAATGACTCAGTTTGCATCGAAAAGTTGAATAAATTACATATAGCAGTGATAAACAGTGTTGTATTTTGAAAATAATTTTATAAGTTATTTTAGTAGTATTTTTAGCCTTTTTCTTTGCTATATAGTCTTTTTTTTAATATTTAAAACGACCGAGCGCTTTTAAATATGGCAAACGACTGGTGAGTTTTGTGAATTAAGCAGTAGTGAAGATGAGTTTCAAATAGACATTCATACAGACAAATTTCACGAAATTACTATTCGCACCGAATATAGTGATGAATGTGATGATGATATTATCCAACCAACAAAAAAAAAAGAAGTTAGACAAATTAAATGAAGAGCGGAAAGACATTAGCGAATGTGCCGATTCTCCTTCAAGAATCGAGTTTAACATACATCAAGAAACACCCCGACTACAAATACCAAGCATATAAGACATCCAATAGATTATTTTACTTTATATTTTACAAATAAATTATTAGACAATATAATAGAAAAAATAAACCATTATGGCAATACAAAAATGAACAAATATACTGACTAATCAGTGGCATATTCTGGAAGACGTGGAACAACATTTTATTGTAAAACATGTCAAAATCAACCAGCTATGCATTTTGGAAATTGTTTTGAACGTCACCATTCTTTGTAAAATGATCAAAAATAAATTAATATTATAAATGTATGTCCTTCAATGACCACAAATTTTTATCGAACAAATTGCATAACATACACTCAAGTTTACAGCCGGTCAATGGCGTCGGAAGCAAATTTTTGATGGGTGGACTCGTTTTTTTTTTTTATAGATAGGCAGCCAGTGGTCTCGTTTTTTTTAGAAATATCAGCCCATATAATTTTTTTAAATTGATGGGTGGGCTCAGCCCACACAGCCCACACGGGTCCGACGCCACTGCAGCCGGTGAATTGTCCCGTAAGTGTTAAGTTTAATGTCGAGTTGAGATAATATTTGACATTTGTTTATTTTATAGAATCACTTGAAGATATAGCTGTTTATGCGATTATGGAATTTAAAGATAAATTTGTTCGAAGAAATTTAAACTTTTGGGGTATTATGTATCAAATAGCGCTTATGTGAAAATACCGAAAATACCGGTATTTTTGGGGTAAATACTGGTAAAAATACCGCCAAAAAATCGGGCGGTTTACCGGTAATTCGGTATACCGGTATAACCGGTATTGCATTCCCTAATCCATATGCTATCTTATTTTTAAGATTCTTTTATTATTTTGCCTTGTTCATGGCAATTTCCTTGTTCTGCTCCGTCATGGTTCTCAAATCGGCTGAGAGCAACAGTGGCGCCGCCATGATGGCCCACACCGACATCTGCGCCTTGGCCTGGTCCGGGCTAAGGCCATATCCGCCGACCAGAAGCATATCAGGATCATTCCAATGGCCAGGACCTGCCCTTGGGGCTACATCATCCTGGACGGATGCATAATAATCTGGTAATAGTAGATAATGGGAATAGTATTTTGGACAAGTGGAGAAGGTTGATTGGTAAAAGTAGTTGTTCTAATACAACCTATGATATCGACGACCGACTGCCACGAATCCTGGATGTCCAAATATCCTCGCCACATGTTACAAGTTTCGGCAGCCAATTCGTAATTGGGAGACATATTGACGTCCTGCTGATACGAGGGCCAGCTGCAAGAGTAGACAATCGGATGGCCAGTTTCGTTTAGGGCCTGGCCGAATTTCATGTACTCGGGCGGAAGACATTCCGGAGGCCAATGGCATCTGAGAATTTTTCAATAATTTGTCCACAAACATGAAGAACAAACTTTCAAGAAAAGACGTTTAGACGGCAATAGGTAGCACTATTAAAATTAAAGTATTGACAATTGGCCCTACTATTACTATCGTCGTCTAAATCAATTACACAGGTCAACAAAGAAAATGGTGCAAACGATTTTAATGCTGTTTTTAAGTATATTTGGGCGCTGATTTCAAAAATGACATTGATTTTTTCTATGAGCTTTAGTTTTCAAGATATGATATATGATATATTAGGTGCGCAACTAAGTGTTCGCTGTTCTTTCGATGAAAATGTAACTTTATTATAAAAAATTGCATCAATTGAGTTTGACACAGTTCTCCAGTGATGGTTTCGCTCAGTTCTAACAGCTCATAAAAAATAACAGCGACCTGGTCCCACCATATGTAGAGCATAACCTTTGCAGTGAATATTCGGCCGAACCGATATTTTCTCCTCTTTGGATTGCTGTAATGTATTCATGTTTCATCACCTGACACGATGTGATGAAAAACCTCTTCTTTTCTCGCCGCTGGAGCAGTTGTTCACAGGCGAAAAAACGACGCTCGACGTCTCTTGGCTTCAACTCACAAGAAACCGAAGTTTCTTGCTTCTAAATCATCCTCAACGTATGCAATAGCTTGGAAATGGCTTGATAGGTAACTTTTAATTCCGAAACAAGATCTTGAGTTTGGCACGAATCCTTTTCGAACAAGGCCTTCAATTTAGCGTTTTTGAAGGTTTTGCCCTTCCTTCACGAGGGTGGTCGTCAACATCAAAATTACCATTTTTGAAGCGACAAAACCCTTCACGGCATGTTGTTTCGGTCATAGCAACATTTCCGTAGCTCTCGATGCACTTGAGCTGCCGTTTTTTTGAATGGAAAACGAAAATCAACACTCCCCGCAAATGACGATTGTTTGGCATAAAATTGGGCATATTCACTCAACCAGAAGTATATAATGCAAAAACGAAATCAATTATGTGTCGCAGCAGCTTGTTTACTACTCCAAGACGTTTTGGATTTGTCAAAATCGACCAACCCTTACTGCTAGAGCCATATACTGACAAACAGCGAGAACTTAGTTGCGCACCTAATATAAGGAACGAAAGTACAAAATAGTAATACAACTTTAATGAGATATGCCTACTCGTACATACAAACTTACAAGACCCGTTCGGCCTTAGTTGGGACATTAGTTGACGCTGTAAAAAGTTCTTTTCCGTGACGACCTAGAATGGACCTGGTTTCGGCAACTTTTTCAAGTTCCAAACTAGAGCTGATACACAAAATGGTTTGCAGATTTTAAATGAGAGCAAAAAATACTATAAGAATCAGCTCTAACATTTGATGCACCAAACAAAAAAAAAATTTTGTTGGCCTGTGATATTTACGTGTCCACTACAATTCATCACCAAAATTCCTTTACCCGTCCATTTTGAGAAAATCGATTCCCCAATCCGCAAACGTGAAAGCATCCGTCTCGTAGTGTCCGGCGCTACCAGGATATCCGGCGCACGTGTAGTTCCCAATATCGGCGTAAAGGCCGAAAAGCAGGCCCAACGAATGAACTTTATCGACCAGGCAAGGGATCCCATGAGGAAAACGCTCCTTGCTCGGAATCAGGACCTTATCCTCGAATTTATGGCAGAAGACGCGCTCGATGGCCGACCAGCAGTCGTCCACGATAACATAATTATATCTGAAGGACGAGGGGAAAAGGATATGAAACTAGGTCTATATAGGGCTTCCAATACCGTACTAAAATCTGAATACCGGTATTCGATATTTGAAATTTGTAATAACGGAATCCCGGTATTAATACCAGTATTATTAATGAAAAATTTACTAGTCAAATTTTTATTTACCGCAGTTGTTATGTTGATATATTAACATTATTATTGTTCTAAAATGAGTCTACATATTAATTATTTTATTACATAGGTGTAGATTGATACAAATAAAACTTGCAAGTAAACAATTATATATTAACTTCTATGTTACATTTTACACATAATAGGCTCGTATATAATTATATATTTAAGGGAAAAAATCAATTATTAACTTACATTTTTTTATTAAGTTCCCGTAGGGTAAGTTAATGTAATGGGCCAAAAATCGAAATTGAAAATTTTTACATTTCTCGACGTTTTGAAGGTTTCTGAACGTTTTGGCATACCTCGGAAAAAATGTATGTGTGTGTGTATGTATGTATGAATACAAATTTCCAGTCACGTTTTGGGCGCAAGAATCAACCGATTTGAATGGTTCAAAAAACATTCGATTCCTATGCAGGCAAAGGCAGGTCCAGCAGTTACGGAGATAAAAGGCAAAAAATGCAGAAAATAGAAATCGAGTTTTTGAAAGAACGGAGCATCCGATTTGAATGATCCAAAAAACATTCAATTGGTAATGATTGGGAGAAGTGATTATTAGCCAAAGAATTTTTTATCATATTTTTTTTTTTTGTATATCGAAAATAATTCAGATTTTATTTTTGATTTTGTCTATACTTCTAATATACTTAAAACAAATAATTTCAACTTTGCAATTCAGTTTATATAATTCTTATAAATATTAAACTATGTTACAGTATTTATTTATAATAATCTATTTGAAAGCATTTAATATTCCTCGAACATTTCGTTAAGGTATGGGAAGTTCCAGCAATTTGCCTTAAGGCACGATGCCATTCACCCCACTAATTTATATATTATATTTGAAGAGACGTCAATAATAAATTTACTAATTAATATTTTTTTCCAAAATCAATTATTTTGTTAAGACAAGCAGAAAGTTCTTTGAATCATTTAAATCGGACGCTTACTTCACTCAAAAACTGCCATTTTTTACATATTTAGCTCCGTATCTTCGAAATGGCTGGGCCTTCCTTTGCCAATAACTGATAAACACTTCTCCCAATCATTACTAATTGAATGTTTTTAGATCATTCAAATCGGATACTCTGTTCTCTCAAAAACTCGATTTCTATTTTCTGCACTCTTTGCTCCGAAACGGCTGGACCTGCCTTTGCCAAAAACAGCTCTTTTCCCTATCAATAGAAATCGAGAGTTTTTTTAACCATTCAAATCGGTTGATCCGTGCGCCCGAAAACGTGACTGGAAATTTGTATCCATACATACATACACACACACACACACACACACATTTTTTCTGAGGTATGCCAAAATGTTCAGAAACCTTCAAAACGTATAGAAATGTAAGAATTTTCAATTTCGATTTTCGGCCCACGGAATAACTTACGCCACGGAAAGTTAACAATCGCTTTATATTGCCGATGTGTCATACTCGGCTGATTTGAGTCGGTAATGCACATACACAGTGTAAAACTTGTGTATGTGTATTGCGTAAGTTTAATTTTTAACAAAAAAAACTGGTAATAAGCGGTATTTTTAGTATCAATACAGGTATTGAATACCGGACAAAAATCGTCCGGGATCACGGTATTCGGGATCACGAAATCTCGGTATTGTAAGCCCTAGGTGTAAGTTACGATATTTATTATCTTCTTCTTTACCCGACTTGCGAGTATCCTTCGCTGGACAACAAGTCGGCCATTTTCATAATCAGGTTCTCGTCCAGGCATTGGTCAGGAAAGTCCCGGCAATCAGTGACGCACCTGAACCTCTCCCAGGATATCCAGCCCATTGGCGGCGTGAGGGCGAGGCCGTTGTCCAGGCAAAGGCAAGGAAGGACGACATTGAGCAGAAGCAGGAGCCATTTGGTCGAGATTAGGAATTTATCCATAACAAAATACAAAACTGTCACTCGATGACATTTGGAACATTTTGTTGAAGTTTGATACTAAACGCTCTGTGTCTACTATGGTTATGTATATATGTTTGTCTTTGTTTTATGTAAAACATGTGATTGTTAATAATATTTGTAATGCATGAAGAATATATAATCAGTCAGTCTATTTTTATCCTTCTGCGTGAACGGTTATATTATTATTCACATAAACTTTTAACATAAATTCTACACATTTTTTGTTTGGTAGTTCGTGACGGGGGTATTATTTTAGACACTGTACTGGGATAATTAACTACTTTTTGTATTTACCATTTCAGGTGAAACCTATTTAGGCGCGACTAGTGTGTAAATCCGTACAAATGCAACGGAAGTGCGTTACGGCAGATAAGATAAGATAAGAGTCGAGTGCCAATGATTCGCCATTCGCTCTCGATAATATCATTTCTATATACGGGTCGATTGCGATTATTCGTCGTATCGAGTGAATAAAGATCTGTCGTTGTATGCGTATCGTCATCAACGTTTATGCGTACCGATATCAACGAGGAATCGGCATAGATAAATAAATTTAAAGTTACATCGTAGTACAAATCTTGACTTAATGAAAAATGCCCTGAATCAGAAGAATATTTTGCCCTGTTCCTTGAAAATAATAAAACAAATTAAACATTTGTGCCTTGACTAAACGTAAGTTTATTGATTAAAATTATTTCTATATTATTCGTAGTTTCTATAATCTTTCAAGTTTATTAAAATGGAAAATATTTTTTAGACAAACAGATATTAAAGCTGTTCAAAGAATGAGATTATATCACCGGCGAAAATAAAAAAAATACCATCAGTCAATGAATGTATGTTAATTTCATTACATGAAGTTCCTCAAACACAATTATTACATGAAGTGAAGTGAAGTTGCAAAAACAATATTTGTTCAGGCGTTTTTTAACATAATCCACTGTGTGAACGAATATTATAGAATTTATTAATCAGCAATTACTTCATTTCTCTAATGAAGGTTCACTTCTAAAGGCTAATTACAATGACACTTGATACATGCTTTGTACATAATTTTGTAACATGTTATCTCTTCCGTCTGATGTATATTTCTCGGTCGTAAGTTATTTTTGTTTAGTCTATTCATCTAGTAGTTGACACTATTAAAAATATTTCGGTCAACAGTCCATTGAGTGTGGGATGTTGCGCAACATTCAAACATCAGATAATTGCATCGACCGACAAATAAAAACTGTGTTGTTATGCAACAATTGTAATAATTTGGAACGACTGTCAATTTTATTTCATATACATATATACAAAGATGTTCTGAGCAAAGTCCGATATAAGTACCAAAAACGTCTTTGTCTCATGTCTCTTCTTAGGAGGTCTACAGAACGCACCTTAGGTACTAGAAACGTGTAACTCTGACAAATTGTACATCAATACTTGGTATTATCAGGCATGATTATAAAAATTAGATTTTATTTGAAAACATTTTAGATAAAAGGATTTTCTGAGCAAAATCCGATTCAAGTACCAAAACGTCTTTGTCTCATGTCTTTCTTTAAGGAGCTCTACAGGACGCACTTTTGGTACAGAAACTTGTAAATTTAATATACTATACTTCAATACTTATATTATCAGTGAAAATTGCGAAAAAAAAGTTTTGTTGAAAACATTTGAGATAAAAATGATTTTCCGAATAAAGTACCAATAAAACCAATAAACCTAACATATAAGAAATGATATGTCTTATATTTTTGTTTAAGAATCTCTCTCTCTCTTTCTTTCTCTATCTGTCCCTCTCTCTTTCTCTCTGTCAGTCTCTCTATATCTTTGTCTTTCTCTCTCAGTCTCTATCTCTTTGTCTCTCAGTCTCTATCTCTTTGTCTCTCAGCCTCTATCTCTTTGTCTCTCAGCCTCTATCTCTTTGCCTCTCAGTCTCTATCTCTTTATCTCTCAGTCTCTATCCCTTTGTCTCTCAGCCTCTATCTCTTTGTCTCTCAGTCTCTATCTCTTTGTCGCTCAGTCTCGATCTCTTTGCCTCTCAGTCTCTATCTCTTTATCTCTCAGCCTCTATCCCTTTGTCTCTCAGCCTCTATCTCTTTGTCTCTCAGTCTCTATCTCTTTGTCGCTCAGTCTCAATCTCTTTGCCTCTCAGTCTCTATCTCTTTATCTCTCAGCCTCTATCTCTTTGTCTCTCAGTCTCTATCTCTTTGCCTCTCAGTCTCTATCTCTTTATCTCTCAGTCTCTATCCCTTTGTCTCTCAGCCTCTATCTCTTTGTCTCTCAGTCTCTATCTCTTTGTCGCTCAGTCTCAATCTCTTTGCCTCTCAGTCTCTATCTCTTTATCTCTCAGCCTCTATCCCTTTGTCTCTCAGCCTCTATCTCTTTGTCTCTCAGTCTCTATCTCTTTGTCGCTCAGTCTCCTCTCTCTTTATCTCTCAGCCTCTATCTCTTTGTCTCTCATTCTCTATCTCTTTGCCCTCAGTCCCTCTATCTCTTTATCTCTCAGTCTCTATCCCTTTGTCTCTCAGCCTCTATCTCTTTGTCTCTCAGTCTCTATCTCTTTGTCTCTCAGCCTCTATCTCTTTGTCTCTCAGTTTCTTTCTCTGTCAGTCTCTCTATCTCTTTCTCTCTCTCTCTCCTCTCTCTCTTACTTTCTCCGTCCTATCTCTTTCTCCTGTCTGTCTTTCTATATCTTTCCCTATCTGTCTGTCTCTCTTTCTCTCTCTCTCTGTCGGTCGCTTTCTCTCTCTCTACTATGTTACTTTCTCATATTATTTTTCAATACATAAACAAATAATAAAATTGAACAAAACTTAAACCATAGAGTTTAATTATTATAATTTTATGAGTCTGAATAGAGTATGAAGTCTTTCTCTCTCTCTCCGTTCTATCTCTTTCTCTGTCTGTCTCTCTCTCTGTGCCTCTCTTTCTTGCCCTATATCTGTCTCTCTCTGTCCCTCTATCTCTTTCTCTGTCTGTCTCTCTTTCTCTCTCTGTCTCAATCTTTCACTATCTCTTTCTCTCTCTGTCTCACTCTTTCACTGTTTCTTTCTCTCTCTCTGTCTCACTTTTTCACTCTCTCTTTCTTACTCTTTCTCTTTTTTTCTCGTTCTATCTCTCTTTCTCGTTCTATATCTCTCTCTACTTTTTTATATTTATATATTATTTTTCAATACATAAACAAATAAATAATAAAATTGAAAAAAAATAAAACCAAAAAGTTTAATTATTATAAATTTTATGAGTCTGAATAGAATTTGAAACACTCTTTCGGAATTTTTTTATTTTTCCAAAATATTTAATTTTAGATCTTATAACAGTGGTCTCTGACTTTTTATATTTACGCCCCCTTAATTTTTTTTTTCTAACAGGTTAATTTCTAAAGAAATAATAAACTAAAAATATAAATTATTTAAGGGGATACAAAATATTATGTTAAAATGTATATAACAAAATAAACATTCATTTATATCAATTCGACTTTTTTAGGTTTTTATTCGAGAATAGTATTTTGGAAACCGTTGCACACCCCTTTTCCAACAGTCTCGCGTCACATAGGTTGGAAAGCACTGATTTAAAATCAAAATAGTCTAATATATAATCAATTTAATATATATACGAGGTGTGTTCAAAAAGTACCCGGAATTTTTAAATTTCGCGGGTCTGGAGTGTCTGATTGTCAAAATTTTTTTTTTATTGTGTTGGTATACATGCCCCTAAAGTATGATGAAATTTTCAGCTATATTCACTGTTTACTTTGTCTGTGGTAGTCGCTAAGGTTCGACGTGTTTTTCTGAGCTCGGCGATTTTTACAATGGAAGAATTGAAAAAGTCAAAGAATTTGTATTAAATTTTGCGTAAAAAATTAAATAAAGTGTTGCAAAGTGTGTGAAATGTTACAAAAAGCCTATGGTGAGTCTGCTATGAAAAAAACAAGTGTTTACGAGTGGTATAACGTTTCCAAGATGGCCGCGAAGACGTTGAAGATGACGAAACGCTCCGTCGACCCAGCACGTCAACAAACGATGAAAATGTGAAAGAAGTGGAAAAAATGGTTATGAATGATCGCCGAATCACAATTAGAGAAGTTGCTGATGAAGTTGGCATATCAATTGTCTCATGTCATAACATTTTTTCAAATGTTTTGGGCATGAAACGAGTGGCAGCAAAATTCATTCCAAAATTCCTCACTCGTCGTTGCTTGTTCGTAATTTTTTGGCCAAAAACAATACCGTAGTCATGCCCCAACCTCCATATTCACCAGATATGGCTCCGTGTGACTTTTTCCTATTCCCAAAGTTGAAGAGACCCATGAAAGGACGGCGGTTTTCCTCGATTGAAGAAAATCGCCGAGAGTGCTCAAGGACATATCAAAAAGTGAATATCAAGGGTGCTTCGAAAATTGGAAAAAACGCTGGCATAAGTGTATTATATCTGGGGGGGACTACTTTGAAGGGGACCACATTAATGTAGACGAATAAATAAATATTTTTTTGAAAAAACGAAAATTCCGGGTACTTTTTGAACAGACCTCGTATATATATATATATATATATATATATATATATATATATATATATATATATAATTTATAATATCAAATAGCATAATATAAAAATTTAAAAAATATATATAAAAATAATTATATATTCGTTTGTCGAAAATAATAGAGCCTTTAGAAAATTGTTAAATATTATATAAAAATAATATGACTGAAATTCCATATTGTGTCTAAAATTACTGACTCAAGAAAAATGTTATTAAAATTTACGGATGCTATTTAAATTAGTTATTATTATGTATATAACATACAATAATTAACCTGTATATTATGTATATGTTTTATTCCAAATTATAATTTTGAGCACCATTTTTAAGAAAAATTATAACTTAGCCTTGTGCACACATGAGTGCCCATAATTAATTACGATGACTAAACAAATCGCAAACAATTACATACATATCATACATCAAAACACGCACATTTCAACGCTGATTCATTTAATAAACAACTCCCGACATTTCATAATTACAATAAACCAAAACATCATTCCTAAAATTCCTTTAACGTAACATAACCTAACAAATTTAGCACCGGTTGCATAAAATATATAATAAATAATAGACTTACCTTAATACTGCATTAAATATCACACAACACTAATTTAAACTAACTAAAAACCACACAATCACCATTGAAACACTATGAAATAAGTTAATTAAATAAATATATTACTTTTTGCGACAACTCCATTTGACGTATGTCTTTCTAGGCGAACATAGACGAAGTGTTACACGTAGATGTCACGCTTCGACTAATTTTTGCTATTGTGTAAAAGATAATAATTTTTATAAAAAAATTAATGAGATGTTTAGGAAAAAATGTGTAATTTAAGGTTATCGCTTTTTGTTGCAAAAAAGCGGTCAAAGTACGTTTTTTTTGCAAAATTTATGAAAGATTTTGTAAGCAGATTTTACGCCTGGTGTGAAGTTGCTGACTTAACGCGCGAGCTTGATCGGTGCATCAAAATGGCGGGATTTTTGAAAATAAATATTTAAAAACTCTAGTTGTAAAAGTTTTACAAAAAATAATGAAATGTTTAAGAAAAAAATGTTTTATTTAAGGTTATCGCTTTTTGTTGCAAAAATATGGTCAAAGCACTTTTTTTTGCAAAATTTGTGAAAGATTTTCTGAACAGATTTTACGCCTGGTGTGAAGTTGCTAACGTAACACGTGTGTTTGATGAATCAAAATGGCGCGATTTTTGAAAATAAATATTTAAAAACTTTGATTGTAAATTGTATTTTGCCTTAAGTGGTAAATAATTAATAAAAATTTAGATTTATATATTTAAATACAATTTTCAACTTTATATTTCGTAAATGAAATTTTTGCTTACACTAAAAACCAATCAATGCGATTTTCAATTGATCTTGCAAACAATTCTCTATTAAGGGGGCTCTACAGGACACACCGACTTTAGAAGAGTCTCCTAAATTGGATATGTTGCACTTCAATATATCTATAAAAATAACAAATTATTTATTATTATTGTTATTAAAATTTGATGCAATAATGATTTTCTTAACAAATTGAACACACCCCATACTTTACAAATAATATATAAGAGTCCTTAGCTTCTGTTTAGGGGGCTCTATAGGATACACAGACATTAGAAGAGTCTTCTAATTTGCATATGTTGACCTTTGATGTATCTATAAGAACAACAAATTATTAAATCCATAATTTTGCCATTAAAATTTGATGCAATAATGATTTTCTTAACAAAAATTGAACATACCTTACAAATAATATAAAAGTGTCTCAAGCTTCTTATAGGGGGCTCTATAAAAGACACCAATGTTGGAAGAGTCTCCTAATTTTTATATGTTGCATTTCAATATATCTATAAAAACAACAAACTATTAAATTATTACAATAATAATTTTCTTAAATTGGTTTTGCCGCACAGGTAGTTTCAAGTTTCTGTTTGTGGGGCTCTACGAGGGGCTCTGAAGATAGACTAGTCTCACAATTGGGACATATAGTACTTCAATGTATCTATAAAAACAACAAATTATCAAATTTATATTTTGGTATTAAAATTTGGAAGCAATAACATTTTGCTTAAGAAATTGAACAAGCTTCACAAAATATGTATAAATGTCTCGAGCTTCTGTTTAGGGGGCTCTATAAAAGACTCGGCTGACAGAAGAGTCTCATGTTGCTCTAGAATATATCTATTATAACAACATGCAAATAATTAAATTAATAATTTTGTTATCACAATTTGAGACAATAACAATTTTCTTAACAAATTGCAGGTGTCTCAAGCTTTTCGAGCTCTTTAGGGGGCTCTAACAAGACTCCTTTGAGAGTCAAAATTTGGACATTGGGTACATGAATATATGTATTGTATTAACAAATAGTTAAATTAATAATTTTGTTATTGAAACTTCGAGGCAATAACGTTTTATTGAATAAAGTACCAATAAAAATAAAATGTGTCTCGAGTTCCTGTTTAGAAGGCTCTACAAAGACTTCTTTTATAGAAGAGTATCAAAAACTGAACATGTTACACTTAAATATTTGTATTGTATTACCAAATTATTAAATTTGTAATTTGTTATTGAAATTCGAGACAATAACGTTTTATTGAACAGAGTACCCACAAAAATTAAATGTGTCTCGAACTTCTGGTTAGGAGGCTCTAAAAGAAACTTTTGGTAGTAGAGCCTCCAAATTTGGACATGGTACACTTGAATATATGTCAGGAGCGTAACTACCGCCGTATCAGCCGTATCAAAAATACGGGGCCCGCGAGCCAAGGGGGCCCCCAACGAGCGCAAGCAGAAAGCAAAACTACAATTTTTCAAAAAATTTAATAATTTTCTTTTTTTATCGAGAGGTATTGAAAGTCAACTTGTAAGCCAACGCTTTAAGAGAATTTATTTCTGCTGCAATATTTCTGCAAACAATCAAATCAATTAGTAAAGCTTTTCCACATTAGATAAGTTGACAAATCTATAAAACTAATTCAGATTATACATTAAAATTTGTAATTTTTAAATTTATATTTATATCGTTTTTTATTTGTAGCTGTTACTACTTGAATTGTCTGCATGACGCGTCAGTTTAATAGTTAGATTTTGATAAATATGATCACCAAAATCATTTTCAGATTTCTTTCTTCACTGTTTAAAAGTTTCTGTTCTGAAGCTTTACAACACGCCAGTAGTGGCTTACAAAAAACTAGTATTTTATTAGTATATTATTAATTTTTTGAATAGACTGTGCGAATTAACATATGAAACTTTAATATAATTTATAATATTGAAATAGTTTGTTGAAGAAGTACAAATAATTTGCAAAAAAGATGAATTGCAATAACTATCTTTTTGCTGTTTATATATATATAGATTTCACAAACCAAATAAAGATTTCAAAACCTTTGCGACATTTGCCTTTTTGGATTCGGGAATTAATAAACGTTTCCGGAAAACTGTCGACTGAATTACTGTAAAGAAATATTGTAAAATATATCATATGATCATGACCAATTGATAGTTCTAGAAATAGGTTTGAATACAGAAATCTAAGAAATGTATTTCATTAAGGTACAATGATGGATGCAATAGGCTCGCATCCAGTTTTTCCGACGAAATAACAGTATGCATTTTTTCTTGGCCCTTAATTACAATTTACAGTAGAAATCGCCACTGCTAATTTTTTTTTTAAAAATTAAAACTAATTAAAAATTACCTAAATACCTAAACCAGACTTGTATGTTCCTAGAGACGGAAACTTTATAAATTTCAAAGATCACGAAAAATTTCAAAAAAAGGTAAGGAGTGTGAAAATATATCTGGAATTATTTGTGAAAAATTCACAAAATTAGAAAAAATTAGATAGATAAATAATTAGAATGATAAGTAAATATTCTTTTAATATTATGTATTTCTATATTTTGTGAAAAAATAATCTTCTTGAGGGGGCCCCCAAACAAATTTTGATACGGGGCCCCGCCAAAGCACGCTACGCCTCTGATATATGTATTATATTAACAAATTATTAAATTAATACTTTTGGTATTGAAATTCGAGACAATAACGTTTTATTGAACAAAGTACTTATAAAAATAAAATGTGTCTCAAACTTCTGTTTAGAAGGCTCTACAAGAGACTCTTTTGGCACAAGAGTCTCAAAATTTGGACACAATGCACTTGAATATATGTATTGTATTAACAAATAGTTAAATTAATAATTTTGTTAATGAATTTCGAGACAACAACGATTTTTTGAACAAAGTACCCATAAAAATGAAATGTGTCTCAAACTTGTGTTTAGAAGGCTCTGCAAAAGACTCCTTTGGTAGAAAAGTCTCAAAATTTAGACATTGTGCGCCTGTATATATCTATAAAAGCAACAAATAATCAAATTAATAATAATAAAAACAAAATTTAATATATTAACGTTTTTCTGAGCAAAATTGTACCTTGCAAATCGTGTAAATAGTCTCGAACTTCTACTTACACGGTGCACCATTGTGAAAATTATTTTAAAATATTCACCAAAAAAAAACCTTAACATTACATGTATCCTTTTCAATTTACAGTAAAAATTCAGTCATTCATTTGTCAACTACAAAAAAAAATCACAAAACCGCAAATAACTTTTTTTTGCAAAAAAAACATTTTTAAAAATCTTTTGAATTTAATTTCTAATAATATAATACCATTTTTAATTTTGTTTTGACGCGATTTGAATTTGTTTTTGACAGAACGAAATTTCAATTTTTATTAATAGGATTTTTTAACTCGAATTATAAAAATTGTATAATTAATGTTAATGTTTTAGTTTCTCTTAAGTAGAAAGAATTTTGTGCAAAATTGAAATTTTTAATTTAGGCAAGATGATCGATGTTAATGGATGAATGTAAGTAAAAGAAATAGTAATAATGATATATATATATATATATATATATATATAATATATATACTATAACAAAAAGTATATGAATAGTTTAACCACTTCAAATTATGCTACAACCCTTAGACAATAGTATTTTAAAGTAAAAATAATAGCATATTTTGTTTCAATTCCGCATTAAAAAAATTACAATAAAAAAATTGACTTCATAATTGAAAAAATGTGTTACGATTGCACAACCCTTAATAAAAATTAATTGTTTTTTAAAGTAACATCATTCATTCATTTTCATATACTCAACAAAATCTTAACTGAAATTATGTCAAAGGTCAAATTAAAACAAAAAGAAAATTTATTCCATAATTTAAAAAATAGGGGTGGATAACCCTTGATAAAACTAAATAGTATTTCGAAGTATAAAAGTATGCATTTTTCAATTTCAAATTAAAGAAAATTAAAATAGAAAAAATTGGTTCCAAAATTTATAAAAAATGTTAGGGGTGAACAACCCTTGATAAAAATAAATAATATTCTGAAGTAAAAAGAGTTGTATATATTTTGTTAATTTCGCATTGAAAAAATTAAACCAAAAAAAGTTGACCCCAAAATTAAAAAAAGTATAAGGATTGGACAACCCTTAATAAAAATAAATTGTTTTTCAAATTAACCTCCATAACAGTCGCTAATTTAAAAAAATATTGGTGGACAACCCTTGATAAAACAAAATAACTTTTCAAAGTAAAGAGACTTCTATGTATTTTTCAATTTCAAGTTATAAAAAATTTAAATAAAATGTTAGGGGTGGACAACCCTTAATAAAAAAATGTACTTTAAAGTAAAAGCCTTGTATACGTTTTGTCAATTCCACATTAAAAAAATTAAAATAAAAAAAATGACCCCAAAATTCAAAAAGTATTAG